GCTCGAGCACTCGCTCCTCTCGAAGTTCGACCAGCAGAGGGCCACCACAGCCGCCTCCACCCCCGCAATGTCCTCCGTCCCCCCCGACGCTGATAATGTCATCCCCCGCAGCCGCCCCCGACAAGGAGACTTTGAAACTTCTCCTCCCCCTCCGCTATGACGGCAAAACCGTCATCGAATGCGACAGGTTCCTGTCGCAACTTCGTATCTACTGGTTGATCAACACGTCGTTGACGACCATTGAGCTTAAGGTACAAGTTGCGCTAGGCCTGCTCGATGGCGACGCCCGCGCCTGGGCCACGCCTTACTTTGCCCAACTCGCATCAGTGCAGATGGGTGTGCAAGGGGTTACAACCCCCTTCAGGAACGAAGCGGCCTTCACCGCTGCCTTCAAGGCTCGCTTCGGCAATCTCGACAATGCGGCAGCAGCCCAGGTAGAGCTGGCGAAGCTCTGCGCGGACAAGTCGGTCCGCGAAAAACGCACTGCGGCGGAGTTCTCTGCACTGTTCAAGGGTCCGGCGGACCGTTCCGGGTATGGGGACCTGGAACTACGCGACAAGTACCTGAGCGGTATCCCCTCCTGCGTATATCGCAAGATCGAGCTCAAGACCTTCACCACGTGGCGAGCCGCTGAAAAGCGAGCCACTGAGGTCGAGCAGATCCTCGACATCAGCCGGGCCTGTCGGCCCGAGTTGAACAACTTCTTCTCGGCCCGAGGTCGAGGTCGCGGTGGGGCACGTGGAGGTGCACCTACGACACATGCAGCTTCGGCCAGCATCAATGCGGCCGTCGGAAAAGGAGACTTTCCCGGCACATGTTTTGGCTGCGGGAAGCAAGGGTACCGTCGTTTTGAGTGCCCTAATTGTAAGGATAAACCTTACACAAAACGCGCCGACGCGCGGGCTACGGTTGCCTCGAGTTCCACCCAGGCGGCGACAAGCGCCCCCGTCGCTTCATCCTCAGCGAGTACAAGCGCCGCTTCAGCGAAATCGGAAAGTTCCGAGCTGGTGGACTTAATAGCACAGATGAAGTCGATGCGCGAGGAGCTCGAGCACTATCGGGCAATGAAGGAGGAGTCTTTTTGATCCGGTCGGCGCTTCGTGCCGCACGCGTCGGGCCGCGTAATAATAATCTGTACAATGTATTGGCGACTGCGAATGTGTACGAGTTGGACCATAGGTCCCAGCATTTCCACATCCCGGTGCGCCTCAAAGGAGAAAGACGGCACAAGGACATAGTTGCAATGGTGGACAGCGGAGCCACCACGAAGTTCATCAACAAGCGTTTCATCAAGGAGAATCGAGTACGAACGCGGAAATTGAAAGAGCCAATTCCGCTTTACAATATCGATGGAACGCTCAATAAAGACGGAAGCATCTCGGAGGTAGCCGTTGATAGGCGCCAAGCCCCTCTGGGCCCCGATTCACCTCTTTTCGGCACTCGCATCCCGCCCGGCACTTCGACTCAGTCTCCCACCACTTCGATTTCGCCTTCGACACTCTTCGACACCTTCGACGGTGCGCGACACTTACTCGAAGCTCGGCACGGTCGTCCCGACGCCTTGTGCGTAGATCCCGGGACATCTTCCACATTCGGCGAACAATAGGGCCACTTGACGCCGCTCGGCCAAGCGCGCGCATCGCTCCAAGCCACACCGACGTAGCCGGTCTTTCCCGATTAAGTATCAAACCTTGCGACATGCCTTCACAACGGCTACCGGTCTGAAGTGGCCATGTGTTTCTCTTCATCTCCGCGTCTGGCATGACGTCACTCTACCAATGGACTTGGTATGTGCCCCTCGGTGAGGCAGCTTCTTGAGGAACAATGCAAAGCCCCTTGTACTCGTATGCCACTCTCGAATAGTCGTAGCGTCCTGTGTAGTATAAAATCGGTCGTAGTTCTCCCCAAAAATACAAGATCCGTTCCCCCCCTCGAGTTCAGAGCTCATAAGTCGAGTTCGCCCCGCGTCTAAGCCTTCAACTGCGTCACTTCGTCCCTCGCCGCGTAACTTCGAAACCTCGTCCACTGCGTTTACTCGTCGATACCGTCTCGACGAACCCTTCGACTTCGACTATTGTCGAAGAAACTGCGAACCGCGCCCTAGCTAAGTACACCCTATCGAATCGTGTCCCTTCTCTCTACGATACATCGAAGAGCTCTGCCGAGCTTCGATCGTCGCTAACTTTCCACAGCTTCCGAGTAGCTTCGACGACGTGTCGAAGCCACCTCGTACCTGCCCGTTTGTTCATAACCTTTCCCAAGGGCGTTTCTCGTGTTCACTCGAACCGCGGGACACCTTGCTGCTAACTCCCCTCTCATTAGACTATAAGCTGTCTCTCTAGTCCCTTTAGGTCGCACCCAGGTTAGGGGTTAGGGTTTCGTAGGTCGTATCACCGTGCTACAGATGCAGATAGGAGAGCACGTCGAAAAGACGGTGTTCACGGTCACGGACATAGGTCCAGAAGATGTGATCGTCGGGTTGGATTGGCTGCGAGAGCACAACCCCGAAATCGATTGGGAGTCAGGCTCCCTGAAATTATCACGATGCCCTGAAACGTGCAGTGCCAGGAAGACTGGCCGGATGGAGCAAGCGGCGACTGCGCGTGATACGGGGGTCAGGCCCACGGCGCGCAGACGCTCGCAGAAGTCCAGGCGGTCGGTCATAGGTGCTTGCCGGAGTAAGGTACTCCCGGACTTCGAACCCGAAGATGATCCGGTGGAGGTAGAGTGGGACGAAGCTGACTTGATCGAGGCCTGGGAGCAGGGTGTCACGCTTCCCGACGCCCCTCAGCTGTTCGTCGCAGCAGGGCACACGTATTCCCAGCTGTTCGCTGAGGAAGAGATCAAGAAGAAGGTCGTCAAGACCGCCGAGGAGTCAGTACCTAAACAGTACCACGAGTTTCTGAAGGTCTTCTCCAAGGAAGCATCAGAACGGCTACCCGAAAGGAAGCCTTATGATCACGCGATCGAACTCGTACCCGGCTACTCGACATTCCACTCGAAGGTGTATCCCCTGTCGAACAACGAACAAGAGGAACTGGACAAGTTCCTAAAGGAGCAACTAGCGAAGGGCTACATATGGGAGTCGAAATTGCCCATTTCGTCCCCCTTCTTCTTCATCAAAAAGAAGGAAGGGACGCTTCGACCCGTGCAGGACTACCGCCGCTTGAACGCTATCACGGTCAAAAACCGCTACCCTTTGCCGCTGATCGCCGAGATGGTAGATAAGCTCCGCGGTGCCACGCTCTTCACCAAGTTCGATGTCCGATGGGGATACAACAACGTCCGGATCAAAGCCGGTGACGAATGGAAGGCGGCCTTTGTGACTAACCGAGGGTTGTATGAGCCCTTGGTGATGTTCTTCGGTCTCACTAACTCCCCCGCGACCTTCCAGGCGATGATGAACAAGATCTTCCACGATCTCATCGTCGGCGGCAAGATCCTCGTGTACCTAGACGATATACTCATCTTCTCCACCAACAAAGAGGAGCATGAGAAGGTCACACGCGAGGTTCTTCGTCGCCTTCAGGACAACGATCTATTCCTGAAGCCTGAGAAGTGCGAGTGGGACGTTCCCAAGGTCGACTACGTTGGCTATGTGCTCGGTGGTGATGAGGTAGCAATGGATCCCGCGAAGCTAAAAGGAATTAATGAGTGGCCGGTACCCCGGAACAAAAAGGACGTCCAGAAGTTCCGGGGGTTCTCCAACTTCTACCGCCGCTTCATTAAGGACTTTGCTAAGATCTCGCGACCACTCGACCGGCTCACAGGGAACGACCCATGGCATTGGGGTGAAGAGGAGCAGCACGCCTTCGACGAGCTCAAGCGGCTCTTCGCGACGACTCCAGTCCTAGCACTGTACGACCCTAATCGGGAAACGCGCATTGAAGTCGACGCCTCGGGGTACGCCACTGGCGGCGTATTGATGCAGAAGCAGGATGACGGCAAATGGCATCCCATCGCCTTCAGATCCCATGCGATGGATCCGGCCCAGCGGAACTACGAGATCTACGACAAGGAGATGCTTGCCATCATTGAGGCGCTAGACGATTGGCGCCACTATCTCGAGGGTCTGCCCAATCAGTTCGAGATCATCACCGATCATAAGAACCTCAAGTACTGGCACACGTCACAGCACCTCACGCGTCGTCAAGCACGATGGTCACTGTTTCTGGCTCGCTTCGACTTCCGCATCACGCACAAGGCCGGGACGTCCAATGGAAAGGCTGATGCCCTGTCGCGTCGATCAGACCATCAGATCGGCGATGAGGACGATAACACCGATCAGATGGTTCTCAAGCCAGAGCGCTTCTGCATCGCCTCCACCAGGCGCGGTCATGCCTCGGTGACGGCCGATCAGTCGCTTCTGAAGCGCATTCGGGAATGTTCGGAGAAGGATCGGGAGGTGGCCGAGGCACTTGAAAAGGTACAGGACCTCAGGCCGCCCCGGCTGCAAAGGGGTTTTGAGGAGTGGAATGCCGAACAAGGGCTTCTGTTGTTTCGTGGGTGCGTGTACGTCCCAAAGAACGCGGAGCTCCGGCGGGATATCGTCAAGATCCACCACGACTCGCCGATCGCCGGTCATGGTGGTCGTGCCAAAACCCTTCAGCTCGTATCGCGGAACTACTGGTGGCCTGGGATGTCCAAGTTTGTCAATGAGTACGTGAGCACCTGCGACATGTGCAACAGTACCAAGACATTCCCAGCCAAACCCCAGGGTCCGCTGAAGCCGAATGAGATCCCCGAGCGCCCATGGCAGATCATCACGACTGATATGATCGTTGGCTTGCCGAAGTCTGATGGATTCGACTCGATCCTGGTCACCGCCGACCGCTTTACCAAGCAGGTCCACTTCTCGGCCTGTCATGAGACCCTGACGGCAGAAGGTGCAGCAGATCTGTACATCCGCGATGTGTTCAAGCATCATGGGGCCCCGGCCAATGTCATATCAGACCGAGGTCCCCAGTTCGCTTCGAAGTATCTCCATGCGGTGTACAAGGGACTGGGAATTGAGCCGGCACTATCTACAGTGTTCCATCCTCAAACAGATGGCCAGACTGAGCGCTGGAATCAGGAGATCGAACAGTACCTGCGTGCTTTCACAAGCCACAGGCAGGACAATTGGGCAAAGCAGTTGCCACTCGCGGAATTCGCATTGAACAATCAAGCTCACTCCGCGACCGGGCACTCCCCTTTCTTCCTGCATCAGGGGTACAATCCTGAGATCCAGGTTCGGATCAATCCGATGTCTGCAATGCCTGCGGCCACTGATCGGCTTAAGATTCTGAAGGAGATTCGCGACGACATGCGCTCTGCGCTTGAGTTGTCAGCTGAGCGCATGAAAGTGTACTACGACAAGCACGTGCAGGAGGCACCGGTCTTCGTGCCGGGGGACAAGGTCTTGCTTGATGCCTGAAACCTTAAGCTGAAACAGCCGAGCAAGAAGCTCAGTCCCAAGCGCCTTGGGCCTTATGCCATGCGGCGAAAGCTTGGAGACTTGGATTACGAATTAGTCCTGCCGAAATCGGTGCTGGTGCACCCGGTATTCCATGTCTTCTTGCTTAGCAAGTACACGCGTAGCGATATCCCGGGCCGGGAGCCGGAGGAACCGCCTGCGATCGAGGTTGAGGGCGACGGGGAGTACGAGGTTGAGCGGATCAAGGATTCGCGGATCTTCCGGCGTCAGCTGCAGTACCTCGTCAAGTGGAAGGGTTATGACGACTCGCATACATCATGGGAACTGGCGCGCAATGTTGCCAATGCGCCGGCCCTCATAGCCGACTTCCACCGGAAGAACCCAAATGCCCCTCGCCGCCTCAACGCTGCTACCTTTGGTGGTCTCAACTTCCAGCCGATGCCTTTGCCACTGACTGAAGCACGATGCCGCTCCGGATGGGAGATGGGCAAGGGCGCCTTGCATGAGGTCATGCGCCGTTGAGGGGGGGTAATGTCACGAGTTGGCACGGCGTCTAGCCGTTTTTTAATTTTTTCCTTTTCGCGGGCTCGAACCCGCGACCTCTGTACTACTTACCTGATATGGACACGTCGTTATCTACTGTACGATTAGATTAGATAGGACGGCAGCGCACGGCACAGCTTGGGCTCCGCTGACACAGCCACTCTGACTCACCGGCCCCCGGGGCCGCATCGGCATGCTGTGCACGGACCAGCTGCGCACAGACCAACGCGCACAGCCTGCCCTTAACCTCCCCTGTATATAAGCCGGCCTCTGCTGCCCTAGGGACCTCAGTTTCGACCTCTTGTCCCTAGGTCAGTAAGCTCCTGTATTCTCTCACTTACCTTACACTAACTAATACATTTTCTTGTCCCTAGCCTTAGGTTTGAGCACTGCTCACCATCGCTTCAGTGAAAATAAGTCGAACGCCCCCAGCTCCTTTTAGGTTTTCCCCTGTCGCTAGACCTCAAGTCGCGACACGGCGAGTACAAGCGCCGCTTCAGCGAAACCGGATAGTTACGAGCTGGTGGACTTGATAGCACAGATGAAGTCGATGTGCGAGGAGCTCAAGCATTATCAGGTGATGAAGGAGGAGTCTTTTTGATCCGGTCCACACTTTATGCCACACACGTTGGGCCCCAAGTATCATGTAACAAGTACGATGTATTGTCTTCTGCAATGGTGTACGAGTTGGACCAGGGGTCCCAGCACTTTCACATTCCAGTAAGACAGACAAAGATGGCACAAGGACATAATCACTATGGTGGGCAGCGGATCCACCACAAATTTTATCAACAAGCGATTCATTGAAGAAAATAAGGTGCAGATGCGAAAATTGAAAGAGCCAATTCCGCTATACAATATCACTGGCACCCTCAATAAAGCCAGAAGCATCTCGGAAGTAGCCGTGCTACAGATGCAGATAGGAGATCACATTGGATAAACGGTGTTTACGGTCATGGTGATACGACCTACGAAACCCTAACCCCTAACCTGGGTGCAACCTAAAGGGACTAGAGAGACGGATTATAGTCTTAGTGAGAGGGGAGTTAGCAGCAAGGTGTCCTGCGGTTCGAGTGAACACGAGAAACGCCCTTGGCAAAGGTTACGAACAACGGGGAAGGTACGAGGTGGCTTCGACACGTCGTCGAAGCTACTCGGAGGCTGTGGGTGATTAGCGGAGACGATCGAAGCTCAGCAGAGCTCTTCGACGTATCGTAAAAGAAAGGGACACGACTCGATAGGGTGGACTTAGCTAGGGCGCAGTTCACAGTTTCTTTGACAATAGTCAAAGTCAAAGGGTTCATCGAGACAGTATCGACGAGTAAATGCAGTGGACGAGGTTTTGAGGTTACGCAGCGAGGGACGAAGTGACGCAGTTGAAGGCTTTAGACGCAGGGCGAAATCGACTTATGAGCTCTGAACTCGAGGGGGGAACCGGATCTTGTATTTTTGGAGAAAAGTACGACAGATTTTATACTACACAGGATGCTACAACTATTGAAAGTGGCACACTGGTACAAGGGACTTTGCATTGTTCCTCAAGAAGCTGCCTCACCGAGGGACACATATCAAGTCCATCGGTAGAGTGACGTCATGCCGAATGCGGAGATGAAGAGAAACATGTGAGACACTTCGGACCGGTGTCCATTGTCAAAGGCATGCCGCGAGGTTCGATACCTAATCGGGAAAGACCGGCTACATCGGTGTGGCATGGAGCGATGCACGCGCTTGGACGAGCAGCGTCAAGTGGCCCTATTGTTCACCGAATGCAGGAGATGTCCCGAGATCTATGCGCGAGGCATCGGGACGACCTTGCCGAGCTTCGAGCAAGTGTCGCGCACCGTCGAAGATGTCAAAGAGCGTTGAAGGCAAAATCAAACTGTTGGGAGACTGAGTTGAAGTGCCTGGCGGGATGCGACTGCTGAAAAGAGGTGTATCGGGGCCCAGAGGGGCTTGGCGCCTATCAACGGACATCGGTCCAGAGGATGTGATCGTTGGGTTGGATTGGCTATATGAGCACAACCCCAAAATCAACTGGGAGGAAGGCTCCCTCAAGTTATCCCGATGCCCTGAAACGTGCAGTGCCAGGAGGACTGGCCGGATGGAGCAAGCAGCAACTATGCATGATACACGGGTCAGGCCCACGGCATGCAGGCGTTCACCGAAGTCCAAACGGTCAGTTATAGGCGCTTGCCAAAGTAAGATACTCCCGGACTTCGGACCCGAAGAAGATCCGGTGGAAGTAGAGTGGGATGAGGCCGACTTGATTGAGGCCTGGGAGCAAGGTATTACACTTCCTGGCACCCCTTGTCACGAGTTGACATGGCGTCTAGCCGTTTTTTAATTTTTTCCTTTTCACGGGCTCGAACCCACGACCTCTGTACTACCTGCCTGATATGGACACGACATTATCTACTGTACGATTAGATTAGATGGGACGGCAGTGCACGGCACAGCTCGGATTCCGCTGACACAGCCTCTCTGACTCACCGGCCCCCAGGGCCGCGTCAGCATGCTGCGCACGGACCAGCTGTGCATGGACCAGTGCGCACAGCCTCCCCTAAACTTCCCCTGTATATAAGCCTGCCTCTGCCGCCCTAGGGACCTCAGTTTTGACCTCTTGTCCCTAGGTCAGTAAGCCCCTGTACTTACTTACCTTTCAAATGCTAACTTACTTGTCCCTAGCCTTAGGTTTGAGCCCAGCTCGCCATCGCTTCGGTAAGAACTAAGTCGAACACCCCCAGCGCCTTTGTTTGGTTTTCCCCTGTCGCTTGACCCTAAGTCGCGACATTAGGTCAAAACTCCTCACCGCTGCCGGCGTTCACCGGAACACACTCACTTTTTCACTTCCTATAGGTCGGGTGGTGTGCACCCCTACTTTACTCTACGATATGTAGATAGCGTACTACACATCGCCACCGCTTAGGGAACGAACCTTTCAACACCTGCACTTCAGTGGGCGGTGTTTGTCCTAATGGACGCGTGGTCTAGGTTCCTGCTGCATACTAGCCAAAAGCAGTACTGGGCCCCACATGAATCGCGAACCCTAGCGTTACTTCGGGCGCCGTAGGTGTAAGCTAGCATAGCACGGCCATTGTAGTACGCGCACCTCCCCGTCCTCCCCCCATTCACCGTGGCTGCCTGTCGAGGCCAGGTTCATGCCTTTGACTCTCAAGATCTCATCGACGTCTACATCGTAGACGGCCCTGAGACTGCCCTCTACCGCTGCGAGCAGCAACCGTGCCCAAATCGGACACCCCGATCGATTGAGGAGGATTACCCCCGCTACAAGGCAATCAGATGGGCTCAACACCCACTTGGTCCCCACAGCACCCTCGCGTCTCGCTCCACCTCACGGCATTCTCGCCCTGTCTCCCCTAGCTCCCGACTTCCTCAAACTGTTGTCACCGATCCAAGTCAAGCGCGAGGAGATCTCCCTCCAAACCCTGCGCCAGAGCCTGAGCCTGAGGAGAGTGCGAGTGAAGAAGGAGTCTCGGAGTCCGAGTCCGCGGATCCTGCTCGGCCCGCCTCGCCGACAGCGCTCGCCTCCACGTCAGCAGTCCCTGACGTACGTAACCCCTCCCCCGGGCTTCCTCCAGCGCCTTCACCGCCGTCTCCGCCGCGAGGCCGCCCGAGCACTCGTTCCTCGCAAGGTTCGCCCAGCGGTCAGTCACAACAGTCGCCTTCATCCGCGGGCAGTCCTCCATCCCCCTCGTCGCCGATAATGTCTTCTCCCGCCGCCGCACCTGACAAGGAGACGTTGAAGCTCCTTCTCCCCCTCTGATATGATGGGAAAACCGTCGTCGAGTGCAACCGCTTCGTCTCCCAGTTGCTCATCTACTGGGCAATTAACATGACCCTTTCTACCATCGAGCTGAAGGTCCAAGTGGCCCTTAGCCTCCTCGATGGTGACGCAGGAGCCTGGGCCACTCCCATCTTCGCCCAACTCACCGCTTTCCATATTGGGACGCAGGGAGCAACAACACCCTTCGCCGACAAAACGGCCTTCCTCACGGTGTTCAAAGCCCATTTCGGCAACCTCGATGACACCGCTGCGGCACAGGTAGAGCTCACCAAGCTCTGTGCTGACAAAACTATGCGAGAGAAGCGCACCGCCGCAGAATTCTCTGCGCTGTTCAAGGGTCCGGCGGACCGTTCCGGGTATGGGGACCTGGAACTACGCGACAAGTACCTGAGTGGCATCCCTTCCCGTGTCTATCGAAAGATCGAGCTCGAGACCCTTGCCACGTGGCAAGCCGCTGACAAGCGTGCCACCGAGGTCAAGCAAATCCTCGACGTCAGCCAGTGTCGCGACTTAGGGTCGAGCGACAGGGGAAACACAGACTTTGAAGGATGCTGGGGGCGTTCGACTGGATCTTACCGAAGCGATGGTGAGCAAGGCTCAAACCTAAGGCTAGGGACAAGTAAATGTATTAGTTAGTAGGGTAAGAAAAGGATACAACTGGTGTCACGAGTTGGTACGGCGTCTAGCCGTTTTTTTAATTTTTTCCTTTTTGCGGGCTCGAACCCGCGACCTCTGTACCACCTGCCTGATATGGACGCGTCATTATCTACTGTACGATTAGATTAGATGGGGCGACAGTGCGCGGCACAGCTCGGGCTCCGCTGACACAGCCGCTCTGACTCACCGGCCCCCGGGGCCGTGTCAGCATGCTGCGCACGGACCAGCTGCGCACGGACCAATGCGCACAGCCTGCCCTTATCTTCCCCTGTATATAAGCCGGCCTCTGCTGCCCTAGGGACCTCAGTTTCGACCTCTTGTCCCTAGGTCAGTAAGCCCTCTCTTGTATCCTTTCTTACTTCACTAACTAATATATTACTTGTCCCTAGCCTTAGGTTTGAGCGTTGCTCACCATTGCTTCGGTAGGAACCAGTCGAACGCCCCCAGCTTTCAGGTTTTCTCCTGTCGCTCGACCCCAAGTTGCGACATTAGGTCGAAACTCCCCATAGCTGCCGGCGTTCCCTCGGGACTCCCACTACTCACATTTACTGCCTATAGGTTGGGTGGTGCGCACCCCTTCTGTACCCTACGATACATAGATAGCATACAATACATCGCCAACACTCGAGAAACGAACTCTTCAGTACCTGCGCTTCAGTGAGTGGTACTTGTCCTCACGGACGCGTAGCCTTGGTTCCTGCTGCATAATAGTCAAAAGCAGTATTGGGCCCTACGTGAACTGCGAATCTCAGTGTCATCTCGGGCGCCGTAGGTGTAAGCTAGTATAGCACGGCCTTTCGTAGCATGCGCACCTCCCCTTCCTCCCCCCCTCAACGTGGCTGACAAATTCTTCGACTGCTCTCGACTAGAGCACACCTTCGACACCCAGGAGCAGGCCGACGTCTCTCGCGACGACCCAGGAAGTAACGGCAACCTAGCCCCTTTTTTCATCTGTGATCGGCAACCGTGCCCTAATCGAACCCCACAGTCCATCACCACCGACGAAGACGAAGGGCGCTATGTACCGATCCGACGAGTCCAGCATCCCCGCGGCCCAGCACTTCGGTATGCTGGCACATCGCGATCTACCTCTCGTCACGTCACTCCCATCCCATCTTGACCTGCCTCTCCAGGCACCCGCATCCCCCAACCTGTCGCCAGTACAGGTCAAGCGTGAGGAGATCCCCATCTCCCTCGAGGAACTGAGGTAGTCGCACAGCCTTCAGCGACCCCTCAAGCGATCCCCCAGTCCTCCCTGGGGCCACGGTTGGAAAGACCTCCCAAGACCGAGCCCCGCGACACTCCGCCGCATTCTTGGGCCGGCTCGTCGTCAGCGGTCACCGCCTCGCCTTCAGTCCCTGTCTTACGTCACCCCGCCTCCGAACTTCCTCAATCGTCTTCACCGCCGTCACCGCCGCGAGGCTGCTCAAGCACTCGTTCCTTGAGAAGTTCGCCCGGCGGACAGTCACAACAGTCGCCTTCGCCCGCGGGCAGTCCTTCATCCCCCTCGTCGCCGATAATGTCCTCCCCTGCTGCCGTCCCTAATAAGGAGACGCTGAAACTCCTCCTCCCCCTCAGATACGATGGCAAAACCGTCGTCGAATGCGACAGGTTTCTGTCGCAACTTCGCATCTATTGGTTGGTTAACACGTCGTTAACCACCATCGAACTTAAGGTGCAAGTTGCGCTAAGCCTGCTCGATGGTGACGCCCGCACCTGGGCCACTCCATACTTCGCCCAGCTCGTATCAGTGCAACTCGGTGTCCAGGGAGTAACGACCCCTTTCGCGAATGAGGCAGCCTTTGCCACGGCTTTCAGAGCCCGCTTCGGCAACCTCGATGATGAGGCCGCGGCCCAGGTAGAGCTGGCCAAACTCTGTGCGGACAAGTCGGTCCGCGAAAAATGCACTGCTGCGGAGTTCTCCGCGCTGTTCAAAGGTCCGGCGGACCGCTCCGGGTACAGTGACCTGGAGCTACGCAACAAGTACTTGAGCGGCATCCCCTCCCGCGTCTACCGCAAAATTGAGCTCGAGACGTTCACTACATGGAGAGACACTGACAAGCGCGCCACGGAGGTCGAGCAGATTCTCGACATCAGCCAGGCCCGTCGGCCCAAGCTAAATAACTTCTTCTCGGCCCGAGGTCGAGGGCGCGGAGGGGCACGTGGTGGCGCACCCCAGTCACACACAGCTTCGGCCAGCATCAATGCGGCCGTTGGAAAAGGCAACTTCCCTGGCACATGCTTCGGCTGTGGGAAGCAAGGGTACCGACGATTCGAGTGCCCCAATTGTAAGGACAAACCTTACACAAAACGCGCCGACGCGTGGGCTACGGTTGCCTCGGGCTCTACCCAGGCGGTGACAAGCGCCCCCGTTGTCGCAACTTGAGGTCAAGCGACTGAGGAAAAACCTAGATGCTGGGGGCGTCCGACTAAGTCTCACCGAAGCGATGGTGAGCTATACTCAAACCTAAGGCTAGGGACAAGTAATATATTAGTTAGTTAAGTAAGAAAGGAAATACAAGTGAGGGCTTACTGACCTAGGGACAAGAGGTCGAAACTGAGGTCCCTAGGGCAGCAGAGGCCGGCTTATATACAGGGGAGGTTAAGGGCAGGCTGTGCGCGTTGGTCTGTGCGCAGCTGGTCCGTGCACAGCATGCCGACGCGGCCCCGGGGGCCGGTGAGTCAGAGCGGCTGTGTCAGCGGAGCCCAAGCTGTGCCGTGCGCTGCCGTCCTATCTAATCTAATCGTACAGTAGATAACGACGTGTCCATATCAGGTAAGTAGTACAGAGGTCGCGGGTTCGAGCCCGCGAAAAGGAAAAAATTAAAAAACGGCTAGACGCCGTGCCAACTCGTGACATTACCCCCCCTCAACGGCGCATGACCTCATGCGAGGAGCCCTTGCCCATCTCCCACCCGGAGCAGCATTGTGCTTCAGTCAGCAGCGAAGGCATCGGCTGGAAGTTGAGACCACCAAAGGTAGCAGCGTTGAGGCGGCGAGGGGCGTTCAGATTTTTCCGGTGGAAGTCGGCTATGAGGGCCGGCGCATTGGCAACATTGCGCGCCGGTTCCCATGACGTATGCGAGTCGTCATAACCCTTCCACTTGATGAGGTACTGCAGCTGACGCCGGAAGATCCGCGAATCCTTGATCCGCTCAACCTCGTACTCCCCGTCGCCCTCAACCTCGATCGCAGGCGGTTCCTCCGGCTCCCGGCCCGGGATATCGCTACGCGTGTACTTGCTAAGCAAGAAGACATGGAATACCGGGTGCACCAGCACCGATTTCGGCAGGACTAATTCATAGTCCAAGTCTCCGAGCTTTTGTCGCACGGCATAAGGCCCAAGGCGCTTGGGACTGAGCTTCTTGCTCGGCTGTTTCAGCTTAAGGTTTCGGGCATCAAGCCAGACCTTGTCTCCCGGCGCAAAGACCGGTGCCTCCTGCACGTGCTTGTCGTAGTACACCTTCATGCGCTCAGCCGACAGCTCGAGCGCAGAGCGTGTATCATCGCGAATCTCCTTCAGAATCTTAAGCCGATTGGCGGCCGCCGGCATCGCGGACATCGGATTGATCCGCACTTGGATCTCAGGATGGTACCCCTGATGCAGGAAGAATGGGGAGTGCCCGGTCGCGGAGTGAACTCGGTTGTTCAGCGCGAACTCTGCGAGCGGCAACTGCTTCGCCCAATCATCCTGCCTGTGGCTTGTGAAAGCGCGCAGGTACTGCTCGATCTCCTGGTTCCAGCGCTCAGTCTGGCCATCCGTCTGAGGGTGAAACGCTGTAGACAGCGCCGGCTTGATCCCTAGTCCTTTGTACACCGCATGGAGATACTTTGAAGCAAACTGGGGACCTCGGTCTGATATGACCTTGGCCGGGGCCCCATGATGCTTGAATATGTCGCGGATGTACAGGTCTGCTGCACCTTCTGCCGTCAGGGTCTCGTGACAGGCTGAGAAGTGGACCTGCTTTGTGAAGCGGTCGGCAGTAACCAAGATCGAGTCCAACCCATCAGACTTTGGCAGGCCAATGATCATATCGGTCGTGATGATCTGCCACGGGCGCTCAGGGATCTCATTCGGCTTTAGCGGACCCTGGGGCTTGGCTGGGAATGTCTTGGTACGGTTGCACACGTCGCAGGTGCTTACGTACTCATTGACAAACTTGGACATTCCAGGCCACCAGTAGTTCCGTGATACGAGCTCAAGGGTTTTGGCACGACCGCCATGACCGGCGATCGGTGAGTCGTGGTGGATCTTGACTATATCCCGCCGGAGCTCCGCGTTCTTTGGGACGTACACGCACCCGCGGAACAACAGAAGCCCTTGCTCGGCATTCCACTCCTCAAAACCCCTTTGCAGCCGGGGCGGCCCGAGGTCCTGTACCTTTTCAAGGGCCTCGGCCACCTCCCGATCCTTCTCCGAACATTCCCTGATGCGCTTCAGAAGCGACTGATCAGCCGTCACGGAGGCATGACCACGCTGGGCGGAGGCTATGCGGAAGCGCTCTGGCTTGAGAACCACCTGATCGGTGTTGTCGTCCTCATCGCCGACCTGATGGTCTGATCGACGTGACAGGGCATCAGCCTTTCCATTGGACGTCCCGGCCTTGTGCGTGATGCGGAAGTCGAAGCGAGCTAGGAATAGCGACCATCGCGCCTGACGGCGCGTGAGATGCTGGGATGTACG